TTTTTATTCATTACAATTTCGCCCATTGTGTATTACTTTATTCCACTTCCGTTCGCGTATCTATTAATTCGTTACTATTTGCCCCGGCCTTTATTCCGCGTCGACTTTTGTGCTCTCTCCCCGCTCCTGGCCCTCTTTCCCATCATTCCACGTTTTCATTACGGAACGAGCCCCTTTGGCTCGGTCGGCGATGAAAATTTTATGCGAAATTTAAATAAATACACATTCATTCATCGCGATAAATGGATACGTCTACAAAGAACGTGTAATTCCTTTGCGGTGGGCAACGCCGGCGAAGCAAGTCTCGATTCAATGCGGCCGCTGCATAAATCATAAGGGGTTAATCCGAAAAAGGCATTACTATTATTATCGCATCCGCGTCGCGATTCGAATTGCCCGCGTAATTATGCATTCCCTGTCGCTCCCTTTTTTTCATTTTCATTCTCGCGGCTGTCCCCCGGCTTAATCCAACCGGGGACAAATAAATAATAACGGGCGTTATCGGATGAACGCGAGCCAGGCTCTCCGGGAAGACGGTTAATCGCGCCCGGGTATCGAGTCGGAACAGAGTCGGGGAAGCGTTTTCCGTCGTCAGACAAGCCTGTCGTTAACGAGGCAGGATCCTCTCCTCATCCCGCTGATCCCTCCGTTCTCCGTCGTGCTCGCGTGAACCCCCTCGTAACCGGGAGGAGAGGAGCCGTTTATTAAAAACCGTGCCCGGATACGCCGAACTAAAAGCGATCGCGCGTAAACGTCTCTACGTTGCAGTTCTTCCGCAAGATGGGCCGACGATAACCGGGGAGGAGAAGATTTACGCTACCGGCGACGTGCTCGACCTGAATTGCACCAGCGGCAAGTCTCATCCGGCCGCGAATCTCACGTGGTTTATCAATGGCGAGCAGGTGAGCCGAAAAAGAAACATCGAGGAGGGGAAAGGGGAACGGGTAACCGAAATCCTCCGACCGGAGGCCGAGCTGCATTATTTTTTTTTCGCCCCGGATTCGTTCCCGTGAAACGGGAATTTCAAGTGCGCCAACTTGTCGTTAACACTTTACCGGCCACTGTCACGTACGCGTGATTATCATTACGATGATTGTATAGGAATACATATTGATGCCGTTTTTAGAGAAACAATTGCTTCCACTGTTCTCCAATTTACCAGATTATCTTTTGTCAAAATCTTTTAACCCGTTGCCGTACAATGACGAGTGACTTTGAAGTCACAACATTAATATACGAGTTAAATTGACGTATTTAATTGTTTATTGCAAAATGACAAACGACATTAAATAATTAACCAACTTAAACTTTTGTGCACACAGGCGTTTACGTTCAACGTCGTTGTAATTTCAAAGTTACAAAATATATTCGTTTCAACAAACCGTTGGAACTATTGAATACATTGTTAATTTGTGTTCATATGTTGATATTTATTAATTTCATACTGCATAAATTTTGTTATAATCACGAAACAAAATTCGGCCCATAGAGGGTTAACAAGAAGTAATGTTGTTCATTACCCACGGATCAAAGCAAACTATTTTGCTATCATCAATGTATTATCTTCAAATGAAATTTCCACCTGAAGTAGAATGGAAAATTTTGTTGTGTTTCTTTCGAATTGTCTATAGTAACATATTACACGAGCTTAGTAACGAAAGTAAATAGTACCCCAAGGGGTTTAGCAGATGCTTCTGCTGTTAGTTTGAAACTATCTTCTGCTGCGTTCTAACTAACGGCGCTGCGATAAATGTGCGGCCGGTAAAGTGTTAAGTTTCAACGAATCGGACTGTAACATTCACGTTATCGATATATAATCGATGATGACTTTGACACGTTCAACCATTCGCATTCCGAGCAATTTTTAATGTAACCTCTCTGTCACCCCGAGTTATTTTTACCGTGAGTATTTATAATGGAGCAAGCCTCTGTGAACGACTGAACATTTGTCGTTGAAACGAACGTGTATACGTTTTAACCCTTTGCGGACGAAGGTTGACAGTTTACCGAGATTAGACTTCCATGTTTGTAATACTAAGTTGCAAACAAATGATTCAACTGCTCAAACAGCAAGAAACCAGTACATGATTTCCTTGTTCCATATTATTTAGACGTTCAATGTGTAATTTGGCAGAATCTACGAAAGGTTTTGTATAGTTCGGAGAAACTTCGTCCGCAAAGGGATAAAGTGTTTTATTAAGAACTGTAACGACGACAGCGGAGTGCAAGGGGTTAATATCTAGCATTGCGTGTGGATACATAGAATTGTGTACTTAACTCGTGATAGATTTATAACTTTTAGAAATCAAGAAGTGCTCAAGTGCTTCCCCTTTCGCAATTATCAATCAGACCTAGATAACTCCGGCTTTAACGATTCAAGTGACGATTCAACTCTTCGGAACTCGATCTCTGACTCCGCTAAAAAGCTCGCGTCACCCAAATTCAACTGCCTTCGCGGGCGACGTGGTAAGCAATCGTCGACCGAGGATTTCGTTAGTAAGCCAGGGATAGTAGTACCTGCACGTTCCGCCGAACAAGACAGTCTAAAGGGAGAAAACGGTGGATACAGGGAGAGAGAGAGATAGAGAAAGAGACAGACAGAAAGAGAGAGAGAGAGAGAGAGAGAGAGAGAGAGAGAGAGATAGAGAGGGAGTAAATGGCAGGATGGAAAGGATCGTTAACCGAAGCAGGGTATGAGAGAACATCGTCGCCGACTGCGACGAGCGACAGGCGACCGGCAACGCGATGCTTGATGAGCCAAAGCGCCAATTAACGAACGTCGCCGAAACCCGCGTGCAGAGCAGACGCGCGTGAACGCGACGCCGCTCGCGTTAGACGCGGTAAGACGCCGAGCGTCGTATTTTTCTTAGAAAGAACGAGGGAGCGTCGGGAACGATTCGTTCGAGGTACGAAACTCGTCCAATTCGGTTAATTGTTAATTACTTCGCGCGAAGGCGAGAGGAATCGAATTTCCTCGTCGAACGGCTCGCTCTTGGGCGAGACATCGGCGAGAAACGCGCGCGTCCCCGGGTCGACGACGTTTCCCGGGCCAATTCCCGGCGATCGCCGCGTCGGAACGATTTAAATATAATCCGCAAAGTGGCGAGCGGTTGATGCGAGCTTCCAGCTCGCAGACAACCGCGTCCGGGTCGTTCGCGCGTCGCGGCCTCGAAGACTGCGCCCCGATGAGCTGCCGGGCGCACCTTTAGGGCTTCGCAGCGAATCGAGCCCGGCCGCCCGACGCGGCTGCCGCCGGCTCGAAAACTTTCCTCCTTCTTATCCGTTCGTTCCCGCGTGCCACCCAGCCGGCAGCCCGGCCGCCCCACGCGTTACGCCCGCTTCCTCCGTTGGAAAACTTGCCAACCTTCTCGACGATGTCCATTAGGAGTTGAGCGAGTTTAGCGCGGCACTTAACGCGAGCAATATTGTTTCGAAAACGTTTCCTCGTCACGAGTCTCGAAAGATTCCGCCTGGGTAGTCGTCTTCACGTCGCGCCGCGTCGCGTCGCCCACAGCGCGACCCTTTAACCTCTTCCCACCGCGCCGCGTCGCCTCGCGGGAGAAGGATTGTTCCCGGTGTCCTGTGTTAGCGGCGTTTTAATCTTCGACTCGCTTTCAATTAGCACGAGCCCGGCGCGAGAAGCCCTTGGACGGTTATAACTGCACTCGAGCGGATCGCGATGCTCCCCGACGGCGCGTAACGCGCGATACCGGATGGCGGCGTCACCGGAGACGGGATAAAGCGCGTTGTAAGCCGGCCGGAGTCTCATTGGATTGCCTCGAACGCTTCACGAGTCGTCCCGGGAAGACGAGCAATGTTTCCCGGCGTCGTGATCCGGGGCTCGGGATGTTTGCCGCGAGTTCCGGAAGTGTACACGCCGTTTTTCGGGCTGATCGGAGGGTAAAGTTGCGCGCAGTCCGTTTCTGGTAGAGGGAATCCGGAAATGTGATCCGAGTCTGTCGCGACTTGTGTTAATGTTTTGGAGAAGAGAATCTTTTGGAGTTTCGATTAAAATTTGGAATTGTAAAGAACAGTGTATGAGCTCCTTAGAAGCTAATGTAGTTAAATCTGGAAGAGAAGCGTTGGAAAACTCGGTTTAGCTTCTGAAATGATACGACAGATTCAGAAGCTAAAAAGAATGGCTTCCTGACCTAGAAAGAACGCAGAAACGTAAATCCTTGAATAACTAAAGAGAACGTTTATTCCATTGAAATGCACAAAATCAGGAAATAAAGACTTAACATTCTAAGGAACTCGCATACTATTCTTCTTTCCTACTCCAAATTTTGCTAATATGTCCTAAAGACTCCTTCGATACCTCAATCTTTCGCTATCGCAGTGAACGAATTACTTGCTTTCGATTGGAGAATCTCGAAACCGCAGGATCCGCAGAACGAAGCAGTTTCTTCCGTGAGCCACCGATCAAAGATCAACTCGGCGCACATCCCCGCGAACTCGCCCGACCTAATCCCCCTAAATCAGACGGGCGTATACTTATCCCGGCGCAGATTGCGCCAATCGCGAGTGAAATCAGCGAAACATTATTCCTTATGAATATTGAAACCCACGGGAGCGAACTCGGCTACGTCGGCTCTGATTCGCGGGCGGAGGATACGTGAATACCGTGCCATATCCCGTAAGCGTTCGAGATCCGCGATACATCGTCGCGGGCCGCGGCGCATAATCGCGTATCGTCGTCGTTGGAACGCGACTGTCGCGGCAATTCGACTCGCAGCTGGAGAACCGGCAATCTCCATACACGATAATCCGAGACTCGTTTCCGGTCCGCTCCGGGCAAGAAAGTCGTGGACCAAAGTTTCAGCTGGTTGATCCTCGAGCGTTAACCTTTTATCCGAAGCTC